GGCTTCTTTCCCACTATCATGCCTATGTGTTTCAGCTCTGAGAGATTTATTCAGCCTCCAGCCCCTTCTAATACACTGCCAAGAAAGGAGTCAGAGGGAGACTTTTGTAACATAATTACCATTCCACTGGGAAATGGACTGCAACCACCAAATCATTTAACAAAGTACCACCAACATGTATGCAGTGTTGTGGTAGCCACATCAATACCAGGATATTACCTCATCCATCTTATTTCTCGTATCTTTTCTCCATCCCACATCTGTTGGTGAGAGAGACAAGCTCTGAAGAAGAGCTCTGTGGAGCTCAAAACTAGTGTCTTTCATCAACAAATGTTGGGCCAATAAAAGATATTACCTCAACCCCCACGTCTCTGCCATTACCCAATACAATAGATGATTTGGGTCCCTTCCAAACTGGGATTGAACATGGCCTGGTTACTGAATAGTGAGACACAAATTCTCAGCATGACTCAAGGTAAAAATCTATGTCCAATTGCCAGTGTCCTGCACTCCCAGTCCAGTTTGTAGGAATTGTAGATATAGGACATGCTGTCAAGGCCAAACGCAACATGTGTTATGCCTCATGATCTGTTTTCGTACTAAATGTGTGCAAAATAAGCGATATCTTACTCATCACATCACTCTGGGTATTTTTTACAAGTGCGTGTGGGTCTTTGTTTTTCCTTTCAAAGAAAGGCTGAGATGCAGACCAGGGACATCCCATTATTTTATTTGGAAGCACACCATAGTTTGTGAAAGAATGTCCCTATCTTCAAGTGGCATGGGAATGTCTTATTCCTATCTTCCATTGTGATCTCCCTCCTCTCTCCCTCTCCACCTGGTCTCTGGCACCTTGAAATGGGCTAAGCCAGAGCTCTTCTCTTCTTACAACGTGGGTGCCCAGTGTCATCAGCCAAATACCCTTGTCAGTCTTGCTGACACCCAAAACTGAGAGCTGGATACCTGGAAGGGGGCTGAAGGGTATTTCAAATTACGCCAACCCACATAGCCCTACTGAACCCTGCAGCAGAGCACTTAGCCAGAAACCTTTACCAGCAGAGTCAAATAACAGCTAAAAAAATCAGGATTTACACACGTTGTAGTCTGATTACAGCGTTTCAGGCCCGCCAGGCTAAGTGGTTTTAGAACAATTTCTCCAATTACCAGTCTTTTTGTTTGGGTGGACCACCATGAGCAGACACCCAAAGATCACTGTTTCTCACCGCTCCAACAAGGACTTGGCATGCTACATACATGCACGCACACACACACAGAGAAAAGAAAGAAAAAAATACAATAATGCTTGTAATTTCATACTTCACTGACTGGATTACTTTTGTGAGACTGGTTATGCAGATGCTTTGTTGGGTGGCTAGCGATTATCATTTTTCTGCAGTGTTAGAGTACTTGACATTTCCATTTCTCAGTGACTCCAGTTAAAAACAAATGGGTCTACCTGCAGCCCACATCTGATCACCAGATGGTCTCTGCCTATGAAGCCCCCATCTCTAAGTGCATTCAAATGACCTCACACATACATCTTCAAACATTGCTATCTGACCACAAAAACGTATGGAAAACACAACATCTGTATATGTCTGCATCTTAAATCCCTGTTGTTTTATAAAATATATTGCTTGTCACCCTAAAATCTGTAATTGCTTAGTGATCTGCAGGGGAAAATACAGATAGTAGCATATAGGACTAGGAGACTGTGTGTTGAAAGAAACAAAAATTTCAACCAAAGGTCTAAAAATAGAAAACTATAGCTAAAGCTAACAAATAGTTCCCATTAAGTACTCCAAATGCTCTTCACTCTCAGTTGTGTGTGTGTTTATCAACATATAACTTGATTTCCAAATAGTTATGATAAACTTAAGATCTAATTTCCTTTATGAATTTATCATTAAGTCTACATGCATTTCTTTTGACATATATAACAGAGGGTTATTAACAATAAAAAGCCTATATGATCCAGAGCATTAGTTCAAGGGACTACTTTGTCATATCAAGAATCACTGTACATGTAAACCAATTTTCTCGACAAGAAGATAAACACAGACTCGCTTGACTAGCTAGATGAAAAAACAGATGGGATATCACAAACATTTTTTCAAACTACAACAGACTTCTAGGCCAATTAAACATGGTTAGCTTTGAATGGGAGAGGAAATAGTTTTCTTTGCTGCTAAATGTCACAAAATTTCACCTTAAGGCATAAAAGGGCTGTGTCAGTTTCTAGGAATCTTACTAAAATTAATCAATCCTATGGGCAATTATTTAAAAAAAAAGCATAAATATAAAGTAAAAAAAAATTGAAACCAAAGGGGAAAAAAAACAGAATGATCCAGAACTGAAAAGAGGAATGAGCTTGTCCTCGATATGAAAGGAGTTTCATTTTAATGGCTAACCAGGATAACAAGATATTTATATGTTAGAACAGTTTGAGAAGAATAGGAGTTTGTCAAAAACAGAATGTGTTTTGGGTTGGGGTTTTTAAATTTATTTTTGTCTTTGAAGTTTAAAATACCAATGATGACAAATAGGAGTGACGGTTTTTCACTGCCATGTAAACCTGCAATATTTACATTTCTCAATGCCTTTCTATAGTTCTCATAAAATAATCTTAAATTTTGACACCCAAGAAATGTGATCTGCCTTCTGTGAAATTCATTAGGCTTACTGCTTTACAAGGGAGGAAATGCCAGTCTAGTTATTTGTGCTTTTTGCTATTGTGTAACTTCATCTAAAAAGGAAGAAATCACATTTGAAAGCTCTCAGAATAGCAAACTACCCCAAAGTTCAAGCATGGCAAGTTTCCTGCACTGATACATGTTTAGCTCCTTCGAAAGCCTTCATCACACAGCAATGTCAATAGCCGCCATTGGGGAGAAAAGAAAACATTGGAGAAATTTGGTTAATCTATCCTAGTAGACGAGGTCATGACAGCACCACGTGCATAAATAGTAGGGGTATTATTTTCAGATGTAGATGTCCTAGTCCGGAATGGACAAGCCAGGGAAAGAACTTTCTTCCAAGTCCCCTGCCTGAGTGAGTGGCAGCTTTGAGCCAGACAGAGGTTTGAGCTGGGTTCTCATCCTTTATATCAAGGTTAATACAAGGGAAAGTGGGAGGAAATATCATACAAAAGACACAAAGTAAATCTCCTCTGCCAGATGTGAAAGAGGGAGAAGAGAGGAAGGGGGAGGGAGGGAAACCCCTCACTTTTGTAGGACTCCATTTATTACTCATCTCTTTTTTATGTCCGAAAGAGGTATGTACATTTGTATTTTACTCAGGCTGCATTTATTATGAGAATATATGAAAATTAAGCTCAGCAATAACTTCTTCAGCCTGTCATGAGATCTATTTGAGTGTCATCATGCAATGCTTTTTTTTTTTAAACAACACAGAGACTAACAATCCATTGGGTCAAAACCAACCCAATGCAACAACTCACTGTACTAAAGCAGTGGTACTCAATCTTTTCAGATTACTGTCCCCCTTTTAGGATTCTGATTTGTCTTGTGTATCCTCAAATTTCACTTCACTTAAAAACTTATTGCTTACAAAATCAGACATCAAAATACAAAAAGTGTCACAGCATGCTGCTATTGAAACATTGTGACTTTCTCATATTTACCGTGTGATTATAAAATAAATAAAATGAAATATAAATACTGTACTTACATTTTAGTTTATAATATAGAGAACAGTATAAACAAGTCATTATCTGTATGAAATTTTAGTTTGTACTGACTTCACTAGTACTTTTTATGTCACCAGATGCAAATATCTAGATAAGCTGATGTACCATGGATGACCTTTGTGTTCCTCCAGTATATGTGAGAACCACTGTACTAATGTATATTTCATTGACTCTGTAGCACTTGACAGGTTAAGCATTTGCACTGGGATTCATCCCACACTAGCAACTGTTC